AAATACCGAACAAACGTAGAAAACCGCAGAATTACCTTTTTCTCTCCTCCACCTCCTTCGTCGGGGCCGCGTTGGGCGTAAAAGTTTGATCAGAAAGTTTCATCGGGGAGAATTTAGTCTTCGCGCTTTTACAGCTAACGTCCCTTTATTGATTTTGCGGACACTGTTAATTCTTCGGTGTTACCCTTTCTCGCGTGAAGCCGGTTCCTTGGCGTCTCACGACCGTAGCTTTCAGTCACCCTTGTATCGCAATCGCGCCTAATTGCATCGCGCGCATCCAGTTTATTCGACGAGGGAGATGTTTCTCTTGGAATCCCCGTAACAACTCGGGGCAGACGAAGTAATTAGTTAAAGATGGTAATTCGATGGAGAATATTCAGTTCGCTGAATTGTTTGGACAATTATCGGCTGATTGTAAATGAATTGCGTCTCGAGCCGAGATGTACAACTGACTTGGTGCGCGCGCGACGGTGCAAAGCGGAGTTGAAATATCAGTCGCATTAACCTAATTTGCCGATAGCGCTAAGCAAACGGTAATCAGCGATGTCAGTATACGTTGTGAATTTTCATGATATCGATGAATCGCCGGATTAAGTTACTCCATAAATATGAGATGCGCCGTGTTGTGCACATGCGTTGCGCAAAATGCGATATTCTAAAATTGCTGTTAATCAAATAAAATCTCTCAACGCGATGATTGCGAGCCAGCCAATTTTGTTAATTCGTATAAACGTAAGTAAGCCGGTAAAATTCAAGCTCTCTTCGCACACTTTTCTAACTTTCGACGATAAATATTTTATTTCAACTATTCTCTCTCCGATAAATATTGTCATGACTAGAATCGATAAATATTTTCATGACAGTAAATTCTTAACTAAATTTCTGTTTATAAAATCCGCTTGAAATCAAACGAATAGTACATCTTCCTCGTGTAATTTTCCATGTGCAACCTGGAAGATGTAAATTCCAAAATCTACCTCGGTATCTGGACATTTTTCGTTATCGGAAGGTCAACTTGAAATTAATTGAAATGAATCGAAGAGCTTGCAGACGCCAGTGATCAAGTTCGAGCGCATACGAGGCACATCTGAATGTACGATAAATCTATAAAACGAATATAAAAGATGAACATTAAAGATTATATTATTCAGAAATCAACGAAGCATACCGTGTATATTACTAACATACTATTGATAACACTATCCCTCGCTTGAGTGATACTTAAACAAACCGATAGCTCGCATCGAAATGCAAATAATCTCGAGCGAAGCTCGTCGCGCGCTCTCATAGTCACATAGTTGAAATTAATTTCCCACGAGACTCCGTCCTGATAACGGATTAGCTCGCCGGCTCCGATAAGATGACACCGATCGGATACATACTCGCGCCGCCATAATTTTCGTTAATGATGACTACGTTAACGGATTACGCCTGTACAGTGGGATTCAGCCAGCTATGACCAATGTAACAGCCTGCGAATGTATGTGTTCACGTGCGATCAATTCTACGTGGCGTGGCACATTTCTGGCGCACACCGCACGCGAAACGTACCACCGCAATAAACGCACGGTCGACTTGCGCACGGCAGGAATGGGACAAAAACCCCTGTAGAATTCGCACGGAACATTTCCCCGCGCATTCTTTGTCATGTTTTTTGCTCCCCTTGCTGCAACGATCTTTCACGCTTATTGTTATGTATTCTTGGCGATAATTGTGGCGGATACGCGCGCATTGTGGGTCACCCGTTGCCTGCAAACGTTATCCGCGCGGTGTCAGTGAAAAATAAGAAACGCGTCTTCCTTGAGAAAGAACTGAATTTCTGATTCCGAAAATCACATTTGAAATATAAGAAGCAAACATTCCGTTTCTTTTTTCAATCAGAACGGCTTCAAAAAGCTCGTTTATTTGTCACGTTAATTCAACCAATTTTCTTCCATTTAGTTTCTCAAATATAACATGCGAAATAAATGCATTGAAGCGATAAATTGGAACGTTCATTGGATTCGCGATCACGCTATACATTTCCCAGGGATTCGTGCAGTTAATTGTTTAACATTTGTTATACATATATCAAGGAAAGCAAAGACAGCCTCGTTTCTTACTTTTCTCTCCTCCTGTTTTTCTTCCGCTTATTTTTCGAAGAAGAAACTTCCGTTTTGGCAAACTTTCGCGCTTGTACATTCGCGTTCCAGAAATTTCGAGAGCGGCGTGTCTCAAATCAATTCACGATTTCCGGACGCTAACTTTTAGCGGCGCAAGAAGTGGTATCCGCAGGATAAAGCTGAAGGATAAGGCGGTTGAAGGAAGTAAAGAGGTCGAGCGCAGAACGCGGGATTGCGTCGGAGTAGTGCGATACACAGCGTGGCCTGAAAATCGGAGTTAAGATATGCAAAAGGGAAGTTTTGAAGATGTGCATACGGAAGCAGTCGATAAATAATCTGATGAAGAAGGTAAATCTGCGAGCCATCTAGCACTCGCTGAGAGTCCAAGCGATGGAAAAACTTTCAACTTTCCGAACGCAACGATGGTTTTTCGTATTCCGCGGTATAAGAAGAAATTTACACGCGCGATAGGCAGAAATGTGGTAGAAACATTGTTACCGCAAGTTGTGGATGTGTGAGAGTTTGGATCGCTTCAAAATTCCATCATGACGTACACATGTACTTTTATGTTGTTCAAAGTTACAGATTTGCATTCCTTAATTACACAGGGGACGCAAAATGTGTAAAGAGTTCCTTATGCGTGTGAAGATGGCTTTGTGTGTTAAACGGATTTAAAATAACTTACGAGAATGAAAGCTTATATATTTAAAAAAAAAATAAGAAAAATTGGAAAACTATCCTTGAGGGAATTTACAAGTTTCTGCGCAGAAATGAGCTGTCCCACTCTCTCTCTCTCTCTCTCTCTTCCAAGACGCAAACGTGTAATAATTTTCTCTTACAAGCATTTTAGAAAGAACGGTGGCGTTTAATCTTCTTTCAAAGTTCTGCGGACGACCCCGAGAACTACGTAGCTAATTGCTGTGGAGCATTGTGCTAAAGAATTTTCTTCAAGGAGACCGGTGATTATGGAAGAGGGGATTATACCGGATCGATTTGTTTCCTGATAAAAAAGATTTTTCTGAAAATTCCACCTTCCACCATCTACAGACGCTCAACTAATTGGCACTTAGATCGTAATATCATCGGAAAAAGTGAGAAATAATTAAAATGTTGCCACGTGCTGAATTTAATTACGATAACGTCGTTCAATTAAGAATCATGACCCTATTTTTCCTAACAGAGGGAAACTGCAGCGATTTGTTACAGAATTTTATCAAGCATGTGATTTATGTATATATGTTCTGTTTTAATTTCCTTAAGATCTATCATACTCGGATTTTCACTTTTCACTAATGTAAATCACCGTCCAATCAGAAGGATTTTTTAAATTTAATACATTATTGTACAAATTTAAATACATTGATAATTAGAGACAAAAGTTTCTTGGTCGCGCCGTTGAGAAATAGAAAAAATCGGCCTAATCCGTCGCCGAGTCGTACTGTTTGATGATAGAAAAGAAAAGAAAGAGCTCTTTAAGAGAGCTCAGGTTTTTGCTGAAGATGGTGGCGGCTCATAGCGGAGACTTCAGAACTAAAAAATCAACGGAACATCCAGTCGAGACTCAAACCGCGCTAAGCCGAAATTCGAACTCGTAACGCATCTTTTTACGTAACACTGACGAACGTTCAATCCACATCTCACATTTCCAAAGATTTGTATGATAATAAAATAATATAATCAGCTGTCGGTACAGCGAAAAATTCAAGAGTATCTCCAGTATTACCAATTAAGAAACGCAACCTGCACCGCAAGCAGATCTCCAGTCGGTAAAGCAAGTACCATCCTGACTCTTATCTTTCCGTACTTTTACCGACCGTTTACATGTCGCAGTCGCCAGTTGACGCTAGCTGTCGGGCCTCTCGCGAATCGGCAACGATGAGTTCTTCCGTGTCCGGAAGGACGAGGAAAATGGCGACTGCGAGCCGAGCAGCCAAGTCATCATCGAGACGGCAACGGTATTTCAGCGGTGGGTATCATCGAGTCGCACATATCATTATATAGCGGTATCAGGACCGCGGTGACGGACGGAATTAAGGGACGGCACGATAAGACGCTAATGATAATCCATTTGGATGGTGCTGTACACACGCACGCTCTTTACATCGTTACGTAAAAGCCGAAGGACGGCGCCGGTCTAAAAATAGGCGTACAAGAGTCGCGCTATCTCACGCTGTTTCTGTCGCCGTCCGTCATTTTCCCCGCTCTCCATCCTGGGCCGCCGTAGCGACCGAAAAAGAAAGTCGCAGGACAGTGCCACACGTCCATTGCATTCCATTGATTTTCCCCTCAAGGTCGGGCAGCCCACCGTTCGGATTCAATTCGAGCCGCCGCACGTCTTTAATACCTTCTCGGATACCGAGGCTCCCGCATACCTGCCAGTGGTTCTCAAGACTTCACATGACTCGCCGGCGAATCGTCGCGCATATTTCGGCGATTTTCTACAACCTTGAACGGTGTCTCTCGCGTGCGATCATCGCTGGATCACGATTTCCGGGCCACGTGACGCAATTATCTGGAAAACGGGGCGGAAACGCTGCAACGCCCGAAACATCCATCCATATTCATCAGCGACATGACCTCATGCTAATACGCTCGCGACACGTCGCGGCGGTAACAACCGTAAGTCTCTTCGACGACTGCATTTCACCGAGGATCCTGAAACCGCGTCGTACTCGACGAGAAGGTAATAATAACGAGCGACTTCGAGGCGACTGTTCTTTCTTCGTCGGCGGAAGAAGAAGATCGGCACGGCGAAGAGAAATCAATAACGAGCGACGCAATCGAAGCAACGCACGGCAGCGCACGGCCTCTGGCTGGAATTTCCGAGCGGACATCTGCGCGTTCCAGAACGTTCCGCGTGAATCCCCCCGTCGGCCAATGAGGTGACGCCCAATGAGATCACGCAGCCGGATCGATGGATCGATCGTCGAGCCAGACGTGCACGTAGCTTCAATTGTGAGAGACTCTCTCCGAGCCAGCGGAGAGTTTTGCCAACCGCTGGCGCAAAAAGATCGTCACCTCGAAGAGACACACAGCCTTTACATCGGCCGGCAGACGTTAGGGCGCAGCCATACGCACACGAGCGAGCCGGAAAGTGTGTGTGGATCGCGGTTACCGTGGGTCTTGGGGTAGGGCAGTGGAAATTTCCACTGTGCCCGCTGGGACGGTCAATACTCTCTCCGTGCCGTAACGTGCGCCGCACGGTTATCCGGATTACAGGGAGTTTCATCGGCGACAGACCGCGCGCGCACCATTACGGCTTCGCGCCGCCGGGCGGTCTATGAATTTTCGATCAAATGTGATCTTGCATCGGACCTCTCTCTCTCTCTCTGCACCGAGGTAACGAAACTGTCGTTGTACTCGTCGATCCTAAATGAGATTAGCCGGGAAACCGTACTGCGTCTCATCGTGAGATTGTGTTCTTTCAGCACGAGTATCTCTTAAGATCCGGATCGCTTGTACTCGAGTCGTTCTCTCTCTCGTGTAGCAAAATGAATCAGCTCTCCTCCGAACCTATTCTGGCTCCGGGGTTGTCGCAACTGGCACGTTCCACCAGTTGGCCAATCGTTGACGGACACGCTCGTACGAGGTGGACCGACACCATGCGACACTAAAATTATATTTCGCCGGGAAGCCAGTCTGTTTCACCGAATACAACAAGCAGGTAACGCCTGCCCGAGACTCGAGTGCGCGAGAGGGAGTGCGTTGCATGAGGCTAGCGACGGTCTCGACGCTGCTCGAATATCGTATCGAACTCAGCACCATCTCGACGTAGCCGGCAGGAATCGGTCTCGAGCCAAGATCGGTAAATTTGACGAGCCACCCGCGGCTTTTTCACGCCAGGGCGCAGGAGACAGGTCGAACACTCGTACGAAGCGTGACCGACGAGCGCGTTATTTCGGCGGTGTTGCAACGTTACCCTACACCACCGGGATCGGCGGTGTATTTTTTGGCAGCCGATACGTTGAACCGTCGATCGATGTGCCAAATACTCGCTTTATCGTCCCCGCCCGAGTAGATCGGCTAGGTACGTGGAAATAGCCCGTGCCTTTTGCGTCTAGCGTCGCGAAGAAGGCTGCAATCTCGGACGAATTTCCCCTCACGAGGCTGCGTCGCGTGGACTCTCGCCGGCACCGAACGGATATTCAATTAGGTCCCCGGCTGTGGAAAAGCGGGAATTTATGACCGGCCGATGCCGGTTTCCGCGCGCGACCCGATGAAAGACGAACGACCGTACCCGGCCGAGCTATTCGCGAGGACAATAACGGATGGAAGGGAAGAAACGAAAGAGAGGTCAAAAATTAGATTCTCAGAAGAAGGCAACCAAGCCAAGCCTCGAGAGACCTTCGGCCTAACGAAGACCATCTCTCATATCCCGACATTCTCGGTCGGGGAAGCGTCGAATTAATTTTAGAATCCGCCTCGTCGTATTCCCCAAAGGAACTCGGTCTCTCGAGTTGCCCGACACGGATGGTATATCCGCGCGTATCGCATCCGCCTATCGATCGTGAAGAGACTGCGTGAACTTTTCGAAACGGATGTCTCGTTAATTGCGGCGCAAAGGGGTCGGGGGGTTAACAAATCGCCTGGCGGGCGCCAACGCCGTGCCGTTGATGATTTACGCTAATCAACGGCCGTGGATACGTGTCGCGCGCGTTTCCACTGGCATCAAGTGGGTGCCGTCGTTCCCGCGGGCATCTACGTGAATGGAATGCACAAAGAGCGCCGGTGAGAAATTAGGCCCCCGCGATCGTTTTCAATCCAGCCGAGCGCTTGGCAGCCGCGGCTGTTTTAGACGGCGAGCGCGCCGACGCGGTGGAAACGGAAGATGACGGTGTCGTGTCGCAAATCCGCGGACATTCGAAAGGGGAACAGCTGATTCGTTATTTCGCCGAGCCGACGGAGGAACCAACGGGACCCGGCGCGAGTATTGGCCGACGGAAAGAGAAAAACGATAATCGCTTCGCGTGTCTATTTCTCTCTATCTCTCACGAGAGACCTTTACGAGCGCATAAAATATTTCATAAATTTTGGAAGCTCGCCAATGCCATTATTTGACGGCGCGAATTTCAACTTATTTCTGGCGAACTAAGTATCCGTTCTAAAAATATCGGCCGGCTCCAAAATTCGGAGAGCATGAGGCGGCGCGCTTCTTGAAGGATCGCAAAATCCGACACCCAAGTTTCCAATTGCAATCGAATAGAGAATCGAGAAAGCAGGATTATCCCGGAAATGGCATAACGATTCACGCGGCCGTTGTGAGAACATGACGGCGTGAACACGTGTCACGAGAAGTGTCAAATGTTCTGTTCACATGACGCAAGCTTCTAGATGCGAGATTTCTCCGTTGCTGCGACATGCTGCGCAGGAATATTCGCAGCAAAGCAATTAACTGGCAGCGCGCGGTCATGTGAGTCGAACCAAAAGCAGTGAGAATCTTTAAATAGCTGTCTCTGCAAGCGTGCAGCTCTTCTTCACTTTTATCCGATTGCTCGCGGATCCCTCCGGAATGCGACGAGGAGGATATGATCCTTTCCAGCGACGAGTTAATGAACATTCTCTCACACAGACCGCGCGAACCGATTCGTCGCGTCGTCGGCGAATAATTACTCCTTTTTTTTTTTTTGCAGAATTCCTTTCTGGCGAGATGTGACATTTATCAGTGCGCTCGTTTACATTTTTTCAGAGAGAATGACGTTCGTGGAGAAAAAATGTCCTGCAAATTACTTGCAAAGGGAGAAAGCGTTCATATGACGAGTTATGCGCGATATTATGCTGCCTGTCGGCCTTCAATTATACAAATGCAGGATAATTTAGTCACAAACATGCGAGTGCCTCCGCAAAGACGTCATTCCAGCATTGCCCTCGTTACTCTCACGATTACATATGAAGCACTAAATTCAAGACGCCAGCTAATTCCCGTATAGCCGCACACACCACGCCGATTAACGCTCGGCACATCACCACGCATAAATATACAAGATTTACGCATATAAAAAAGCATATAAAAGAAATTACACACTGTGGAACTTTGTGTTTTCCTGAATATCAAATGAACTTCCGCAAACTATGCGCGATATCATGGATGATAGCATAACATAATACGAATGATATAACGTCTGTATAATTCGAGACGTATATTTCGAGACGAATGATATAACGTCTGTATAATTCGAGACGTAATGCGGTAATTATTAGGCTTTGCCTGTTACCTAACAAAACTGCAACGCCACTCATCTCGTAAATTACTCGCTTATATAGTGACGAACAAGATTCTCGTACGTATTAGTATGAGTGATCTTTTAGAAAAAGTCGACTTTTTAATCTTGAATCGGAATAGCTAGAATCAATTTATTTAAAAAATCGGACTAAAAGGCTCGATTTCGTAAAAATCGATCAAAAAAAAAACACATGCAAGGAGCATTTAAACATCTTTTTTTAAATCGCACAAAATTATCGCCATCGGACTCTCAGAGTGCGCAAACGTTTCCTTTCAAAAGTAGATATCGAAGGAAGCGCGATAATTGCACGACGAACTCTTGAAAGCAACTGATACGATTATGCGCAAAGAGCCGGTCTCGCTATATAATTAACACGATCAGGAGATGATAAAATATAAAGAGATACAAGAAAGGTTTCTCGATAGAAGTCCGAGATAAAACACCGCGGAAAAAACTTGAGTGCGCTGCGGAAAGAAATATTACGAAGTGTGCAGCAGTGTGGCGCCAATATTCCTGCAGCCGTCTCACATCGACGCAAGCGACTGCATACGTGCACGCGCCGAGCGTGGATTGGTGACTGCTTATCGACGTTTCCGTGTAAAGACATGTGATACCGTCGATCGTGTACGTACAACTTTACACGGCGATAGAGTCCAACTCGTGGAAACGAAAAATTCGTTCGGAGCGCACGGCCGCGCGCGGAGCGATTAAAGTCCCGCTATTTTTAAGCGGCGAGCATATCGTGCAAATTCCTGCGTCGCGCAGGAATTACGAGTTTGCACGCTTTTCACGCAAATGTCGACGGGGAAAAGAATATATCGGGAGAAGGAACGGAGATCGAGCGTGTATTTTTGCGGCACGCGTGTCGCGGACACAAAAGACGGTGATTCATTCTGGAGGTGCGATTCTTGCATTAAGCGAGTCTTTATGGCCTTAATGGAGTAAACCGCACGATCATTAATTAAAACACGCGCTCCTCAAAGTCGCAGCGAATCGTATTTGCTGTTTTCACGCGCAAATAACCTCGTTGTCGGACCGCTCGTCGAAGTTTTTGCGGAGTTCCCGGACTTCTTTACGTGTCCTGCGGGCAGAAGAAAAAAAGAGCAATAAAATACTGATGAATGCGAAGACTCGGATTTTGATGCGTTCCGTCACGGTGAATAATTCGTGATGTATAAGATCTCGCAATTATGTAACTTTATCTTGCGCACTTTGGGGTGTCTCGATAACTTCAGAATCATCGGTGCGAAAATGGCTTTACAAGGTTTCCCACCTGACGTGTTCTCATATTTGCTCGACTTATCCGGAAAGTCATCCATGGTTTTAAATTCTCGCGGACCTCTGAAGAAGTTAGCAGATACGTTCCCTCGGCTTCTCGGTTGTTGCGCGCGAATTTTCCTCCGCCGAAGCGCCGATAGTACGAGCGGCAAGGTGAATTTTTCTTTTCATCACCGTCTCCCGACACCGTCACGTGGTATTTGTTTACACACGTTCAGGCCCACGTGGGCATAGGCGACTACGTCTCTCGTCTACGAGCGCGGCCAGAACTCGAAAGCGCGGGTCTGCACGATAAAACGCGGAAGGGCGTCTTTCCAGAGAGCGAAAGGCCGCGCGTGGGTTTTATCGTACGAGCCGGCGGCACGCTCGCTCGTCGGCGTGTGTCGGTAACGCAGGCCGCCTGAAATTGTATGGAAGAGCTCGAAATCATTCACAGATGTCATCAAGCTAATTGGTGTGCTCCGGCTGTCATCGTCGGTCGACCATGTGGCTGATCGGCACCCACGTGGATCTGCACGAATCAGCTGGAGTTGCCGGTGTTGTGCAAACAATCGGCTCGGGACGCGTCGCGTTGCATTGCGCGAGCACGCTGCCGGTGTTGAATGCCCCGGTTCGTACGCGAATTTCTTCAAGTCAGGATTGGAGGAAACGAATATCTGGAATTCTAAAATGATTTTATCTTCACCGATAAATGTGCTAGAATCGATGTAATCATCTGGTTTTAAGCCCCTGATCAATCAAGTAATATTTCTGTCAATTTAAGTATATCTTAATAACTTTTGTAAAATGTCATAAATACTTAAACGCAGTGATAATTTAATTTGTAAATTATTGAATGTAAGTATAAGTGATTCTAAATTTAAAAGAATATTTGCTAGAATTATGTTACACTTGTTTTCCATTGAAGAAACTTAGTGGTCGTAAATTTAGATCTTTCCGTTCAGCAAATATTTTTCAAAAATAAATTTTGATATTCTCGATATTATGAATCGAATATCTGTCGCGATTGTTTTAACACATATAAGTAAATATCTATTTATGTAAAGGACAAATTATATCTTATATTATATATAGTTAATTATATTTCTTCTAGTAAATATTTGCCAAAGAATATTGGAATAACATTTTACTTGGATCTTTTTTATTTGGATGAAATAAATATTACGTGAAATATGGTAGCATTTTTTTCCAATATTTCTATGATAATTTCCTCGGTATAAATATAAAATCAAGAAGAAGAGGAAAAAATACTCAACGTCCATCAGTTAAAAATAAATTATGAGCAAGATGTTTGCTTTGTAAGATGAAATGTTTTCTTTTAACTTTGAACGGAACAGGTGTGTGTAATTAAAACAGACATTTAAATATCTTCGGAAGAATAATTATTGCCTCTTGGTCTTCTGAACGAAAAACGCCTCTTACAGATTTGCGAAAATTGATCGATCTAAGAATAGCTCTTCGATTATTTGAACAAGGTTTAATCCGACGTTATACAATTAGTAGAACTTATAATATTGTGATTATCGAAATTTAATATCACCCTCAATAATGCCTTGTAGATTCGATTAAATTGAATGGCGTTAGAAATCACGATGTAAAAAATTCCATCGTTCCGTGCTGGAAGTTTCGCATCGAATTCCACGGACTCGCGCGAGAAGTAGCACCACAATGCGAGTATATTAAACTTGCGTCGTTAATTGCACAAGATAATTGACCGTTAACGAGCCGCAAAAAAATATAGTAAGGATTGCGCGTAGCCTTCTCTCACTAACGTGGCTAGCTCGAACGGCTTTGAAAACGTTGACGTCACGGAATTAAACTGAATATGTTTTTCGGAATCCCCCTCCCTTCTCTTCCCCCCTCTCCTTCTTCAAGACTAACTTTTTTACATTGTGACAACTATTGACCGCTAGGCGAGCAGCGCGCGGTGCAATCGATTACGGAGTTAAGTGGCGCCGCATAAAATGCATCTTTCTGCCAAACCTGCACGAAAATATCGCGCCGTTCGACCTAGTTCTCTGCGAAACACACAGGCTTCATAAGTACAAGTCTACGATGGAGGACGGAATAGAGGTGTGACTTATCCTCACTTGACTCGCGCACGGGGAAACGAAAATAACACACAGTCCGCTGACTGAGCAATGTTGCAACGGAATACGTTGTTCGCGCGGGCACAGCTCTACTCCTCTTGAGCTTGAATTTCATCACGTTTCTTATCTCGTGTTTCAATTAGATATTGAACAAGTAAGATTCGTGCTAATCGAAGAATAGCTTCACGCAGCGTTATAATCTATCGCACGAGATTAGATTTTTCATCGAATTTCTTACTCACGATTCATAAAGTGGACTCTGCACATTGTCACTCGTTTGTGATCGAAAATCAATCCAACTGTCTCGAGCATAGAGTCGTAAAGTGACGAAAAGAGAAAGAAACACTTTGTCTCATCGTGAAGGAACCCGAGTCGAAATCTTGGACCTGCGTTGAACTTTTCATTCTAATTCTGCAATAAATAACTTTTCATTCAAATTCTGCACTTAGTAACAGCTAAGATAACAAATTAAGTTGAATTTTAATTCTATATAATATAATTAATATAATTGACTTCTACTTTGATTCTGATGACGATTCTTAAATTTCCGTTTTCGCTGTCTTAGCATCAAAATATGTTGTTCAAAGTGGTATAAAAATTAAATCTGTAGAATTCCAGGTTCAAGAGAGAAGTTAATAAATGTCAGTATCGCGAAAGTAAGTTTTTATTAATCTGTCAAGTCATCTAAGTAAGTGCAAACTGTTCTTAAGAGCGTCAAGGTAGCATCCAAATTTCAACTCGGGAGGTACTATTTTCGGAAAGACTCCTGCACGCGACATTTGAGCAGCCCAGGCAGGTAAAATCGAAACTCAGGCCGCGACAAAAGGGATATCTGGCACGAGGTATAGCGCAAAACCGTCGACGTTAATCTGGGAAGTATAAAGGAGGACGGCGCTATCGTGCCACGGGCGCCGAGATGTCGCGTCGACGCTACTGCAATTGCGTCGCGCGGAGCCAACTCTTTGAGCGAGATCGATAGTGCGGAAAAGGATAATAACCGCCGCTATATGCATATGGAGTTCTGAAAGATATGTTCATCCTCCTCCGCTACCAGAGAGGAAAAATACCGAGAAGGAAATATCCTTTACCGAGAAGGCGAGGTAGCGACCTACTCCTTGCACACGGCTGCGAGTTCTCTCACCTGCGGCTTCTTCGGCGAATTCCCAGGATCGATTTTTCATCGATCACAGCGGCAAGACGTCGCTCGTGAGCTTCAGATGCGTCGATGTAAGCCAAATTTGAATAGAGATGTAACGTCTCATGACGATTAACTTCGAATCGCTCTTAACTAATTGACGGCGGTGAAAATTTCGCCGAAATTTCGTCAAAATCTCACACACGCTCTTTGAAAAGCAAAGAATCCGATTTTCCATCGCCAACGTGTTCCACGTGTTCGCATAAAAACGAGACTTCTCGTTTTCCCTTACCAACGTGTGAAGTCGAGAACGTTTGGTACCGCCACACTCTCGCTAAAGGAAAATTGTCTTCGATCCGATCGAAGGATGGCCCCTTAATATCACCGTTGAATTATACCCGGCGCTCCAACTACCTGAAGACGCCATCAAGGTCAAAGTAAATTATACCGTTAAAATTAAAATTCAACCTATTTTGCTATGTTAGTAACTCTTACTATATTGTAGAACTAAACATTTCACATAGGGCCGAAATGTAGCCCCCGTTCACTCAAGGTACAACAGGTAATCGCGCGATTTTAGTATCAAGTTGCATTTTACTCGTCTCAAGTTCTCTCCTTATCACCTGCGATTCTCTATTGTCTCGC